GTTATATAGACCTTTCCCACAAGTAGAGCCTGGAGGGTGTATTTTGGGCGTTCGATGTTTGGGGACTCCGGATCGTAAGCCTCTACGGTAGGGTTCCTGCGGATGTCTTCATCTATCGACAGATCTTCCGGTGCGACCTCGATGGACAAAACATCTTCGTCCGGAGAGGAGAGGTCCCAACCAATCTCCCAGTCCTTCCTCGTGCGGTGCATGTGCTCATTTACATTACCATCCTCAAGCCACTATAGAAAAAGCTCCCTTGCTTGGATAGCTGATGGAGCTGTAGCTGGTGTATAATCTACTATACACATGTAGTTCTTGGGCTGTAAGGCAAACCAAGACCCTGTGGCCTCTGTGAGTAGGGCTGCCTCGATTCCTTCGTCATGATGTTCAGCCTGAACATGAAGTTTAAGATCACAAGATCATCGAAACGTTCTTCCGTCGTCACACCATACGCATAAAACCCGCAGTGCACCATGGTCGTCACGCGCGACATGATTCTTTAGCTCCCTCCTGGAGGCACAGGCGGTTTCACATAACCAACACGTGAACTTCGCCATTACTGAAAAAGAAATTGGAAAATATTACCAGTTAATCATGGTTGATACAGTCATCACATGTAATGTTCATGGAGATGAGCCCAGTCAAGTATGTTCAATTTGCCCACTTTAAGTTCCACTGTTCCAACACCACCTGTTTGTTCCTAACATTATCCCTGACAAAAAAAAAATATCTGTTCCCTGAAGAAGCTTCAAATATAATATCCATTTTTACTTCCAGATATGTATATAACCTGGTAGGTGCCCTCTCACATATTTGGATAAAAGGGTATATTTGTCCCAGTGAGTTGCACTCGCCATTAAGCCATAATGTTAAAAAAGATGAACAACAGAAAACGTTGCTTCTCAGTCAGGAACACGTGAACATGACATAGCCTCCTCATCTGGTGGCCGATGGAACATCTCCAGATATGTAAACAACCAGGTAAATCAGAGCGAATCAGTCAAACGAATGTAAGAATTTGGTCACATGAAAAATAATGATTATTGAACAAACATTAACAGCAACAGTCGGCAGAATCTCATAACATCATGAGCCTATAGTCTCTTGGTTTGTGTCTGCTGATCCACCTAGGCACATTTCTTCCCAGGTAGGGAAGTAGTCTGTCAATGTGGATTGCCTTAGCCATCTGATGTTGGGACTTCTTCACCAGGTAAGTGAGATCATCTAACTTCCTGAGGATAACATATGGACCTTTCCAGGGTGAGGTAAGTTTGCTGCAGATGCCAACCTTCCTAACTGGATTAAGAAGCCAAACAAGGTTGTCCAGATGAGAACACGCATCTTTGCTCTGAGGTCAAAGTGACGCTTCTGGTAAGTTGTTCTCTTCTTCATACATTCTCTGCTAATGTTGTGGATGTCGACTAGCTTTTGCTTCAGATGACTGATGTAGGTGTCGGGGGTCTCATGCTCCTGATCCTTATCTTTGGGGCGTACTATCAGAGCTTGGACTGGAAGAGTAGTTTCTCTGCCTAAGACCATCATGTTTGGGGTCTTACCAGTTGTTGAATGCTCTGAAGCTCGGTAAGCCATCAGGACTTGAGGTAGGAATTCGTCCCATGACCGTTGGTCGGATTCTGCATACATGGTCAGCATCTGTTTTAGGGTGCGGTTAAACCGCTCCACACAGCCATTAGACTGTGGATGCAAACTTGTCGTTCTAGTCTTATCAATGTGGAACAGGTCACATATTTCCTTGAAAACAGCAGACTCAAAATTTGACCCTTGGTCAGAGTGCAGTTGCAGTGGTACACCAAAACGACAAATAAAGGTGTCGATGAAGGCTTTGGCAACAGTCTTTGCCTCTTGGTCCGGTAATGCATCAGCTTCTACCCACTTTGTAAAATGGTCAACCATTACCAAAATGAATCTGTTACCATTCCGAGATTTGGGTAGAGGTCCTACTATGTCAATGGCTACACGTTCCATTGGTTCACCAACCTGGTATGAACCCAGTGGAGACCTCTGGAGGGTAGGAGATTTCTGTCAGAGCACCAGTCACAAACAGAACAGTATGTGGATATATTATCTTTCATTGCTGGCCAATAAAATGATTGTCTGACTTTCCCCAAAGTCTTTTCAGAGCCCAAATGCCCAGAGGAAGGAACATCATGACAACATCTCAAGACGTCATCCCTTTTTAATTCAGGTACCTTTAGTTGCAGAACTTCCTGGTCCTCATCTTCACTTCCCCACCTGCGATACAGTAGTCCCAAGTGAACCTCAAGTCTTTCCCACTGTCTCCACAGAGTTTTCAGAGAAGAGGTAAGATGGGATATCGTATCCCATTCTGGTCTTTGCAAGCCATCTTCTTTAGCAGTAAGAAGAATACCTATGTTTTTGTCCTGTAACTGCTCTTGTCTCAGTTGTATTATCTGCCAACCATCGAGCAGAAGACCAGCTTTGGTGAGGCATCCATTCTCTGTAGATTTTTGTCTTGTAATAGCCCGTGAGACATAATTGCTTGTTTCCGTAGAAGCATTGTCAGCAACAAATTTGATGCTACCTTGCGCTGGCTCAGCATCATCATCATCAACATCATTTGGACTCTGATTAGAACTCTGCCTTGTGCATGTGGCACATGGTGATCTTGAGAGGGCATCAGCATTCCCATGCTGTCTGCCTGGGCGATGGGTAACCAACAGGTTATAATTTCCCATCTCTTGAAGTCATCTTGCTACCTGTCCTCAGAACAGAGTTTACCAGGTAACGTACACCAAGTTTCACGATTTCGGGGGTACGGGTGGCCCAGTCGTCTAAGGCGCCACGATTCGCTGTGCAGTGTTGCCAGAAACCTGTGATTGTGGGTTCGAATCCCGGTTCGCCCCGATTATGTTTCTTGGTTTGTCAGCACCATACCCGTGCTCGTGGGTTTCACCGAAGTGGTAAACGTCTGAGATCTGCATCACTTCGGGCTTTCCTCCCACATTAGGCTGACACGCTGTGATATAACTGGAATACTGTTAAAAGCAGCATTAAACCCAACTCACTCACTCACTCCTTTGGATGATTAACTTGCCGAATAGGTACTATATATATTACTGCATATCTTTGCCAAATTATACCAAAGTATATCTTCAGTGCTGAAGTGTGATATTTATATGAAAATATGAAAATATGAAATTAAGAGAATTAACACATTTTGCCGGAACTACTTTTTGCCTGTCTCAATGACGCGTTGCTTTTTTAACACGCTCATGAACATCAGACAACACATAGTCAACAGAACATGAATCTATCGTGTCTGCGCCACTTATTGAAATGAGACCGCCTCCGTGGTCTAATGGTAGAGCGTCCGCCCGGAGAGCGAAGGTCCGGGGTTCGATCCCCGATCGCGTCATACCAAAAATACGTTAAAAGATGGTACTTGTTGTTACCCTGTCTGGCGTTCTCCAAGATGACTTGTAAATACCACAGTGTTTGATAGCGGTCAATGTCATGCTTTGTGTGACATGACTGACTTTAATCATGTATAAAGTGTTTTTGATTTGGCTTTTAAACAGGACCCTTAGAGGGATTATCAATGTTGGCTATAAACTATATCTATAAAGTAGTGCCCCTTTCATCATACATACCGGGATATTGTTTATCTGATATGTTGATTCTGTGTGAAATAAGACAACAAGAGTTACTTCCCTTTTTCTTTCTACAACGCCCCACATTGTTCTGTCGTGTAATATTTCAGTTGCCCACAAAAGCTGTTTCTACACAGCTAATCAGCGCAACCCGTGCCTGACTCGCCACTACATGGTCCAACATTTAACTCACACACCCACGTCCAGATAACTTTCTTTTCTCATTTAAAACTGGGACAAATCAAACGAGTTGTCGATGAACGGAATATTCCGAATAAACACAAAACTGTGACGTCACGATCAATGTTGGTCGTCAATACACGACGTACATCGGTATGGTTTCAATAATACATTAACAAATTCACACCTGGATATAATACAAAAGTTGGAACTAATGTCATCACCAGTTATCGTCAAATACGTGGGTCACTTCGCCATACAGTAAAACCCTGCTAGTGCGGACACTACAGTTTACAGTACAATCATCCGGTTTAACAAATGTCTGGATAAACTAGGCATGGGTTTAGATTAATGTCACTTTGTATTGATGTAGACGACCCTAGATATATCTTGGTGTTCTTCCAAAAACGTTACGGTAACTCGATCGGGGTCGTTCACATCGATCTCTGGACTCCCACATGAGACCATGTCGTCTGCTCAACCACCGCGTTTCATGTAGGCCCTCACTGAATTCTCGAGGTCAACTTGTCTGCACTCAGCAAATCCATCAATTTGGAACAATGCATCTCCCTCGAGTACCTCAAAGTCTGCGTAACGCTCACCTCCAGTTCTGGGTCCTCCCCAAGTCCCCATGGTGACCCTGTCATCTGGGTCAAGGCAAACTGCATGGTCTCCAAGTTTCCGGGCGCTCGCAGAAAATAGATCCCCACACCCAAATAAGGACATCAACGAAACCTGAAGGGAAGAGAGTATTTGTTGTTTAACGCCGAAATGTTCCAGCTATAGGACAGCGGACCAGACAATCAAGTGATTGACATCATACCGAAAACACATACCGAAAACAACTGTATTTTCCTTCAGAGTACGATGTTGATGTCATGTAAATGAGCTTGTCTAAAATAAAAGAAGCAACTTTCAGGCCAAACCAAAAAGAGCAGAACCTCTATACTACTGAGACGCGTCAAGATTATAGCACGTTAATACTGACGTGCTTGTGCGCGCGTGCGTGCGTGTGTGTGTGTGTGTGTGTGTGTGCGTGTCTGCATGTACTAGTCGTTTGTTTTATCCGCTTTAATGCCAAGCGCCAGCCAGGGTAACAAGTACCTTTGAAAATAGTCTAGTGTGTGACCTCAAAAATAATCATGAGTCAGCATTAATCATTTGAAATGACAACAAAGTAACAAATCAATTTAACCATTTAATAACAAATGTAAATTTGTGTTTCAAATAAACAAAAACTCAACAATGGGTGTAAAAAGTCAATGATTAATTTTTTCAGTTTTTTCTCCAAACAAGGGGAGGGTCTATAAGAAAGTCTAGAGCCTGTTCCAGCCACCCCGCTTGTGGATGCTTTTGCGGCTGAACAGCCGGCACACCCCGCGGAAGAACCTGACGAGTCTTGATGCTTTCTTTGTCTTGGAGACTATTTCGTAAGATTCAAGAGGAGTCTCGCTGGAGATTACTGCGGGGTGAACGTTGAAGACAGGAGTCTCGCAGGAGATTACTTTGGGTGCCGTGTTGAAGACGGGAGTGTATCTGCCCTCGATCCAGATTGGTGTAGGGGGACGAAGAATGTCTCCACTTCCAGTCGGGTTCTGTGTGAAGGATTTCGGCCATACTGGTGGAGACGGGGTGTCCTCAGTCGGATATACGTCCTCGACATCAGCGACATGCACGTGATCCTCTGCAACGTTGACAGAGCTGGTCATCGACCCCTTTAGGAAACGAAAGATGAAAAATGTGTGAACTGTTCAAAACATATATCAAATAGAGACAAAACTATGTTGGAAACAACGTGATCTAGTTTAGATTGATTTGAGAGAAACGGTTAATAATTTTGAATTAGCAAACATTATATTTACCTTAACTGCTTTGATGGCAAGTTCGGGGTCGACATCACTGTGGAGGAGATAGTCCCATAGGTCTATTAATTCCTGCCAATCTGAAAAAATCCATAAACCATTGCATTGAAAAATAAAGGAACACTAGTGCTGAACAATTTGAAATTCACGTAAAATTGAAACCTTTAAGTTATAAGGAGAAGTCAACATACCGTCATTAGTACTGTTGTCAAACATGGCCGGCGATTTTCAGGGACAATGACGTGACGTAACAATAGTTGTGACGTAGTTGTGTGTTCCAGGTGATACTGTTGAACAGTGACATGACGCCAAGCTGCTGCTGCATTTATAGATGAAGCGCGGACGTTAGAGAAGACGATTGACAACCTTGTCCATTGCTAGGCCTGTTTGGAATGTGAGGGTCAAAGTGTGAACTCTGATTGTTCCTTCTGTCAAGTCTTCGACAACGTATATTATATATATCTGATTTCATTTACTTTGAAAGCTGTTATAAAAATAATACCTATATACTTTAGATAATAATCTGACCAAACCGTTCAAGAAAAATCACGAATCTCTTGCCATACAAATAGGAACGTTCTTGAGAATCTATTTGGCGAAATGTGGTCAATTTTAAAATGTCAAATGTTTCAGAAGAATATCTCCAAACTCCAAAACAACATCGAGGACCGGTTGTGTAAAAATAGTGATGTATCAAAGTTTTGACGACATCGTGCCTACGTCAGCGGGACATTACTTACGGAGGCTTGATGGCACTGTTAATCTGCGATACAAACATTCCTGACATTACAGTGGTAACATGCGGTAATAATAAGCGGATGAACGCCAAGCGCGTTCCATAAAGCAATTGTGACTTACTAAACTGCCGAAATCACCTCATATCCATCTACATGCATTTACATCCAACTTTACGTGCTCCTTTTTGCGTGTGGATCTATCGAAGAAGAATAAGCGAACAGCAATGGGTACATACAATCGCGATGGTCGTGACCTTAAAATTACATTTTGGCAAGGGCAGTTAATCCAACGTAATGATTATTATTGGAGTGATTTCCCTTTAATCATTTATGTTGTAGATTGGTATGTTTGCTTGCAATCCTATTAAAACAGCATCATTTCATTTCCTAAATTCTACATAGATCTACTGTGTAAGAAACTTGTCAGTTTGAAATCTCTTATCAAAACAATAATAAGGTGGGAATTGACATGTTCCTGTTATATTTAAACATATTTGAACGTAATGTGTAGTGTACAAAACGAACAATAATTAATATAAACCAACACAAATTCGTGATACTAATTGAATCGCAAATAAAATGTTCAGCACTCGCACATTGGTCCACTTTGTTGTAGCAGGCGACAGCTCGGCGTTTTCAAACAATATTCCGCCATTTAGGACACAGAGATTCCCTCATCAACATACAAGACTGATTTGACGCCGTGTTGATGCCAATCCACCTCACAGCGACAGAGATAGATAAAGGGTGTCAAACCCCACTCCACTGAATACCATCTAATTTGTCACCCCTGTATACCGAATACTAATTAACACAAATCTCAACAGCACATGTCCGAATCCACTCTACCTTGGCAGAATGTTGATCACAGACGAATGCTGTTAGAACACATTCCTAGGTATAAAAGGGAGCGATTTGAAGTAATGTTACTGAAAACAAAATTTAGAAAATACAACAAATATAGGATTTTTATTACCCACCATTACTTTTTTAAATACGGGTTTATTTGTGCCCCGTGTACCACAATATATTGCTGAGTCTCGAATACCCTCTAAATAGACCCCGAATCCCGCGTACCCAATGGGGGTTGGCAGTCTCAGCGATAACCCATTCGCGGAACTATAGCCAATTCCCATTACAGTACAGTGGTAAAGTTGTTAATATTATTTCATAATTAATCAAAGTAATAGCTACAATGTTGTGATAGTATTTTATAATGAAGTAGATGGAGACATGCAGATATTGTTAAAATTGAAACCCACAACGTTGTGAGTGCGTTTGTTATTTTTAACCCCAAACCATACTTCTCTATGAGAGTTACCTCCCTAATGGTAATATGTTTACTCCTGAAACCTGATACGTCAATTATTTACACTGTCCAAAAGTGCTAATATCTCGCTACACGGAAACTTGCTCAACGTTAGAGCTATAATTACTGTTTGAGTTGTAGCTCGATTATTGTTAAATAACATCCACTCATTCACTAAAGGTGTGTAAGTATGTTTGTTTTTTCACAACACATAGGGATTTCCCATTTCTTCACTCCCGATATCAACGAGCTTGCAGCGTCATGGTTTATGAATGGGGTATGTTTACTCTTTTTATTTTAATATATATATATATTTTTGTTTTGTTTTATGTCGCACTCAGCAATGTTCCGGCTATATGACGGCAATCTGTAAGATAATCGAGTTAGGACCAGACAATCCAGTGATTTACATCATGAGCATCGATCCACGCAATTGAGATCGATGACATGCATCAACCAAGTCAGCGAACCTGACCACCCGATCCCGTTAGTCGCCTCTTACGACAAGCATGGTCGCCTTTTCTACCCCGGATCTTCACGGGTTTATTATATATTGAACGGCAAAACATTAAATCAACAGACTAATGTAAAAAAACGCTATACCTCCAAAATGCATTGATATTTCAATGGGAAACTTCCATGAATGTTTTTTTTGTTTTTTTTAGGTTCGGTATATATTAACTGCAAGGCAAAAAGAAAGTATACACTTGAAATTGGGATTTGATAAAACAATTACAAACGTTATCAAAACGTTACTAGGTTGATAACAGTCGCCAAAACACTACAAACTTAAGGTCCAAAACACAACTAGCTAGGATACCCGTTTCATATACATCACCATCGAATAACCATTTATTGTGTGTTCCATTTTCAGCCACCACCAAAGATGGATGTATACTTTCTTTTGTACGGCAGTCTAATTTAAACACACATTCCAACTTCAAAGAAAATTAAAAAAGCCGAATGCTCTTACACCTTAACCGTAGATCAGTCAGTGGTGTGATGTGGGAGCACGAGGTGGAAACGTCCTTGATGACATCCCGCTTCATCAGTCGTGGATGTCGTGATGCGAGGACGTAGCAAGGTATGAAACCGGCCCTCAAATCAGATATCACACGCAATCAATCAACGGCTTATCAAACATTTAATGACCCACCCAGCATGCAGTAACAGCATTCACCGACTCTGTGGAATACTTGCTTAAAGTCATTCTATATTTATATCCATTGAAATTAGGCTGCGCTCAACTAAACGACCGTGCATTAAAAACGTGAAGAAACCATTCCAGTGTTTCTGCAGGCTTAGGATGTCGTAGAGGCAAACGCGGATCCGGAGGCAGGGTCGCACGGAGGGGGTTGCATGGGTATCCCTTTTGACGCATACTAGTCATGTTGACGCGAAAAGAAAACATAACTAAATCATTCTTATAGTGATGAAACTAACAATTAAATAAATATTGTTTTGCTAGCAAACGCAAATTGTTTCCCGAATTATTTCATTTTTTTAAAAACGAGTGTATCTCTGCTTGAGACGTTCAGTTATTGTAGATTCATCACACGTATTTGTCATCTCAAAATGTTGCAAGGATACACAACAAGGAGGTGAGGTGAGATGAAATAGGGTTTAATAGACGTAGCAACAAGAACAATATGGTGACGTGTTATATTACCTGTTTTACATCAGATGTTATTGTCAATGGACCACGTTGGGATTCCGCGCGGGAAAAGTTCCCTTGCAACTCATGCTAGTCCGATTAGGCGACTGAGCAGATCATGTGGTCAGGGTCGATGATTTGGTTGCGTGGCATCGGACGAATCGAGTACCACGATCGCTAATATTAATAAGTGGTTTGTCTGGTCGAGACTCGATAAATTAAAGGCCGTCGTTATATTACTGGAATACATAATGCTGAGTAGAAAAACGCTTACCCTTAAAAGTAGAAAATGATAATAATACACACAGTAAATGGTTGTGTACATCTTGTAACAAGATAGGGGGGTTGCACTGGATTATAAAACAATTTCAATGAGGCATTTCGGGGCAGAATAAGTATAAATCCAAGGAAGTCCGTTTGTAATATTTAATGACGTTGCAATTGAAAACACAACAACATTACAATAAATAAGTACTCTCACGACACTCATGCATAGTTATAAACAGTTTTAGTGTAGCGTATAACAAGCAAAGAGTTGATATAATCTGTTTAGAACCACGTGATTGTATCAACAAAAACAGAAACAGACAACCCATAGTATAGCAAGGAATATCGTAATAGCGACCTCATTAACCTAATTATTTGATACAGATTCAGGGTGTAGAAACACATAAGTAGACCATCAACAAGACCATCACAATGGTAACATGCGAACGATGAAAGCAATTGAACAATGCTTCATAGACTTACTTATGTACGCTGTTTAATGTTTAATATGGCGACAGACACAACGATTTATACTAATCGCTTTTATGGGTTATCAAGGTTTCACCAATAATGATATGATGTATCATATAAATCATGGGTATTGCATTCGGCATCCTGCCTAGCTACTAACACAACCCGTTGTGCAGAGTTGCGTCCCTTGGGCACGCCAGAAACCTATGATTGTGGGTTCGAATCCCGGTTCGCCCCGATTATGTTTCTAGGTTTGTCAGCACCATACCCGTGCTCGTGGGTTTCACCGAAGTGGTAAACGTCTGAGACCTACATCACTTCGGGCTTTCCTCCCAAATTAAGCTGACACGCCGTGATATAACTGTAATACTGTTAAAAGCGGCGTTAAACCTAACTCACTCACTAACACACTCAACGGGCGGAGCTCAACACGGAGTCTGGTGAAACTACTGGTAACGTTATATGATGCGAAGAAGCAGAAGTAGTAATTGAAAAGGTAGTCAAATAACTATTGCCATGGAATATTATATAGGGTATATGTAATTAGTTGTGCACAAAGCTTTAAAGCTTTGTATGCCTATAAGTAGCCGTACCTTTAAACAATAGCTCAATAAAGTAGACACAGTTTATGGATAACAACTTCATTATTTCTTCTTTGCTTGGCAACGGTATAAGGATCTATACCAAAACGTCGCTTTTTACAGTAAATAAGAAGTTGGTATCCATAAATTGTGTCGACATTGTAACTTCTAAGTAATGCCTATCAAACAACTAATAGCTCAACAATCGAATCTTTTAAAACATGATTCTGATTATATCACCAACCTTAAGACAGAAAGGAAAGAAGTACAGACTGTAAGGTGTTTAGCAGACCAAACTGCACCACTCATAATGAACCTTGCCAGCAAGATGCAACACATGCGCGAATTAACAAACAAAACATATAGGAAGTACATATGCAATACATTACATTTCAATGTCAGCATTGTCGCATTGGTGATATTATACTGTTCTCCTAATGCTGGTAGGTATTTGGCCAAGGCCACAAAGATATCACAATCACAACAAATGAATATATATTCTGTATGAACAGCTTGGAACCGGCCTGTACCTTTCTGTCAGCGTTCTATACCATGTGTGGTTCCATTGTTCTGTCTCAAAGCAAGGACATGACTGTTTGCCCCAACTTAAATTAAAACACATCTGGACATGATTGTCACGAAGTTCCTTAATAGCAAGAAAGCGTTAATACTATTGAACAATGTCATCAATGCATCAATATTGTGTCACATGTCAGCTCCAACTCGTAACGATCACAGATAGCTTAATAATAGAAATTCCTGCATTATTTTCGGCAATGGTAGTTTTGCAACTTTCCTCATAAGATGAAGATGACATTTTGATGCCAGTAGAGTTCGCCTTATAACGAGGCACGTCTGTATTTTCAGTGACCTTGGGGAGCTAGCCAGCTCCTTGAGAACGCCGACTACTTCCGGGTGGTGTTTGAGAAGGGGTAGCTTCTCCCTCTGACACTTGATGATGAGATTGTAGTAGCAATAGGCCCCCGCTTCTATCAACATGTCAACTATACGTCTGTCCGTACACACCTGGAACGCTGTTGATATCGGCGTGTGGCCGTTGTAGCCGATGCGATTGGGATCGGCGCCGTTGAGTAACAAAAGGCGCACTGTGTCATAGCATGCCGATTTCACCGCTAATATAAGGGGAGACGACCCCCTCAACTGCACTGCGTCAATGATGGCTCCGTAACGTACCAGCAACGACGCGATGCGGACGTTCCCGTGAAGAGCGGCCACGTGCAGCGGACGTAACATGGTCACGTCAGCTAAGTTGACGTCACAACCATCAGCCATAGCTATGGCTTTGGCCATGTCGTAGTTGCTAAGGTCAACGGCGTGCCATAGTGCTGTGCAACCGCGGTCATCTTGGATATTGACGTCAAAGCCTCCTTGTATCAACAACTTAACCATATCTACGTCTCCCTTGACAATACACGGGTACATTGACATCATCTTTAATTTATCCCTCTTTCGATATTCTCGAAGTTTGTAGCAAAATTCGTCTATGTCCACGACGTACTTCATGTTAACGTCACTCCCACGTGACACGAGATGACGTATAACATCCTTCTGGTTCAGGGAGACTGCGGCGTCCAGTAGCGTCATGCCCAGTCTGCCGACGGCGTTCGTATTCCTGAATGCATGGTTGACACTGAGCCCTCGACTCATATAACCCTTCAGTGAAGCGACGTTGCCAGTAGCAATGGCGTCGTATAGGTCGTCTTCAAAATAATACATCACGAATATGTAGACTTCAATACCTCGGAATATATATAGTTTCCATAGTTAGTGTCAAAGTTATCATTTGAAAAATGATTTCTGATATAAGGTTTACAGGGTAGGATTTCATAGATTCACAACAATTTTCTATCCATGAATGATTAGTAAATAGTCATCCAGATTCCTAAGTCACCAGTTGCTAGAATGACACGGCGCATTTTACGAACAGCACAGGTCCTCAGTCATGATAACCGACCTGGTTTCTGCAGTGCAAACCACTCGGAAATCGACGCTCTCGTGTTCACAGCCAAGCCTATACACCGCATACTTCTGTCCCGAACACGGCAACATGGAACTGACCTGTGACAGTCGATAATGCTGCAGTATTTCCTTCCAGTCTGGCAGCCCAAACATCTGAGCATGTTATGGTACCATATCACTCCTGTGTAACGATCTTGCTGAATGGGAGAGTCTAGAGTCAGGTGTATATATTATTTAACTGCCGAGGTCGCGGCGTCACGGTCGCCTAGCACAATGCAGGCGGTGTATACCCAGATATTAGACTATCGATATTTGATCCGCTTAGGTGCTTGGGTAGGTCTAATCTGCGTGTCGCGAGTAACATGAATGAAAGTCGATGCAAGGAAATGCGCTCTTGACCACCAACAAAAAATATTAACAAAAATAATATCTTTGTTTTTTAAATAGTGTATGCTATTAAATCCTACCTTTACAAATCTGACTGATTCACAATTTGCCAAGTACAAATATACAAGTTTTGTGAGTGAGTGAGTGAGTGGTTTTACGCCGCTTTTGGCAATATTCCAGCAATATCACGGCGGGGGACACCAGAAATGGGTTTCACACATTGTACCAATGTCGGGAATCGCGCCCGGGTTTTTGGCGTGACGAGCGAACGCGTTAACCACTAGGCTACCCGACCGTCCCCACAAGTCTTATGAGCGAGCACGCTTTATAAGAGTATAAACGAAAACAGTTATGTAATTCATGGACATTATTAACGCACTATGTACATTTCCATGCATAATATTATTTTGTTCAGGATACGAATAGTATCCTTCTTATGCTTCATGATAGTATTTATTTATTGTCTTATTGTGTCTCATAAGCCTTATAGCTGCACATTTCATTTAAATTATATGTCCATTTTTTGGTATACAGCTTATTAACGCGACACAAATAAACTATTTTCTCTCTTTATGTCTGTATTATCGCAGAAATCTGCAATTCTGATCACAACAATGAAACACCTTTTTAAACACTAAACACCCCTCTCAATATATAAATACACTATGAATGAAATGCTACGTGTATTAATAGAGAGAGATTGATGTTTGACAGAGAATATATGGCTTATAACCTCATTTAATCAAATCATCCGATTCATGTGATACTCTTGATACACACATGTTTATTTCATCTAAAGACTTTGTTTTGTTGCTTGTTTAACGCCGCCATCAACAATATTGCATCTATAAGACGGCGGGCTGTGTGATAATCGAGTCTGGACCAGACAATCCAATGATTGCTATAATGAGCAACGAACCACGCCGTCGGGGTACAATGACACGCAATCAACTACAGTTTATAAACTACGTTTATAACGAACTACTGATATTATGAACTAAAATTAGAGGTCCCCTCGAGTTCGTTATAACCGTCGTCTTCTGTATTATAAGTGATGCAACGAGCCTGACCGTCGGATCGAACTGCGTCGGTTACTGTACAGTTACTGTATCAGTTATTTCTTATCTTATGTGAAATGACTGTCATGGTCCAAGTGTGGACATCATTTGACTTTATGATTTGATAAAAAAAAAAAAAAAGAGATGGTGATTACATCTTGTATTGCGACGCATACTTTCAGCAATATCAAAACTGTGATTAATTGAGTTTACTTCAGGCAAAACAGTGACTGACAGTTTCATCAATTGATGCATGCCATCATGGTACGATCACACACACGCGCGCGCACGCACGCACGCACGCACGCACGAACGCACGCGACAAGACAGTCGATAAAAAATAAAACTGAGTCTTTTGGGGAGTTTTAAAGCTTTGTCGACGATTGTTGATATATTTGATATCAAAAGACACTCGGATGCAATTTTATTTATCATCCAATATCACAATTCAAACTTTTTGTAGTTTGTAAACAGTTATTAAACAGTATGTTGAGTGTTAAAAGTACAGCTTACCAGCTTAAGTGGCAGAGAATTAGTGATATTTGATTGTGTTGTCATGGTAACCAATGACGTAACAATGTTCTGCAAAGCATTTCTATGCAATTTCATATATAAAGATTATTATACGAGAACGTATGTCATTTTGATTTTATGGAATGAATGTTAAACTTCTTGTACTTCCCAAGCGAGAGAGGGGGTAACACGTGCATTTTTACACGAGTTTCGTAAAATCAGTGCGACACTCATGAGAGTGTAGTTATTTCTTTATTAACCATTATTTCTTAATCCATTCAAAAAAATGCACTGGTCACGATCGACGCCTTAGAAAAACCACGACTGTCGAATGACATCAACAATCTTCAGCTAGAACGCCGTTTCTAGTGTGACGTATAGTCATAATAATATTTGAATGACGTCAACAATTCCATCCGGATGACGTAAACAATACACTAGTGCACATACGATTTTTTATGAACTCGATTATTTCTAATCCAATGGGTAATATTTTTTTACGATAACTTTGGTTGATAAGATTAAGAACTGGTTGTCACACGTGTTTCATGCCTATATTTGTAACGTTGTTCCATGCAAATATCTAGCAGTGTACAGGTATATCCCTACTTTATTATATTGCATCTATTGTTAAAAAGTGTGCTTTGACATTATAGAAAACATAACATCACATTGACCTTATTTTGTTTGTTTGTTGTTTAACGCCGAACTCAGAATTGACTTTAGAACTTCCTTATTGATTTATTCCGAAAAAAAACCACAATCAATTTGACTTTAAAATGTCGAATAAATTCCTTCAAATATGAAGACGTTGTACCAGGGACTTTATTCTATTTGGAATAGTTCTGTTAAAAGGTTGTGGGGGCATGGGGGATTATATGTAATTGTTTCTACGTATATTTATATATTTTAGATATAATATAATAGCATAGATTTGTCTGGACACTTTCATTTTTGTTACTAATGATGTGCATTAGATTGTGTGAATTTTCTAAATTACGAACGTATGAAGAGATAAAGGTATTTCTTACATCATTATATAATTTACAAACAAAACATGCATTTCATCTTCAACAACAAAAATCTCCATCTGCTTGATAATAAGAACATAACCTTTGCTCGAGAGGGGTATTTGAATATCTTCCAGTGTCTGTAAACCAAGGTTACTACATCTAAATCAAGCTAATGACGATTTTAAAGAAATACTTAAAGAAAGATAACTCTCTAAATGTAGAAGTGACTCGTACCTTTTATAACTATAAGAATCAGATAAACTGTCAATAGATTCATACCATGCTTGCCTTAGATTGTCTGAAAGGCGAAGCTTAAACTGTTGCATAAATAACTGAGAATCCCCAACACCTTGAGAAAGCCACACATAACTAAAACCAAGCTTGAGAAGAATACCCTTGATGTAAGTAACCTACGTACACTCTTCAAAAAAAGAAACGCATGGTTAAAAAATAAGGATATTTATTAAGCGGATGTAAAAGTATCTACACAGAATATGCGTGAACACAATCAAATGAAATTAGACACAGTGATCGACAAAAGCATTGTCGTCATTGTCAGCATTAATTCAGTTCAGTCATTGCACATGTGTAGCCACAAGGGGGCGTCATGGTCAGTACCTGGTCACACCACCTCTTGCAGGCGTCACTATTCGACACCTCCTTGGCACCGATTGCACAATTTATTTATTTTAAGTCGTCGGATTTTTTCGTTTGGAATTCTTCGCCATTCCTCCTGTAAGGCGTTGGCGAGTTGTGCCAGTGTGTGGGGACGGTAGTGACGTTGACGGACGTGTCGATCAAGTTCGTCCCACAAATGTTCAATAGGGTTGAGATCAGGCGATTTGGACGGCCATGGAAGGACATTGATGTTCTCATTAACAAGCAAATTAACTTTTGCACGTGCTGTGTGGGGCCGAGCGTTGTAATGTTGGAACAGCTCCCTCTGGCGGTCCAACGTTGGGAGGAGGTGAGGACGCAGAATTTGGTCTATGTATCGGTTTGCTGTAAGATTGCCCTCGACAACCACTAACTGTGATCTACCAGTGTAGGATATGGCTCCCAACACCATGACACTCCCTCCACCAAATCGGTCCACCTGTCGAACGCATTTTGGCGCAAAACGTTTATGTCTACGTCGGTATAAACGTTGTCTTCCATCCCGTCGTTGAAGAAGAAAACGTGACTCATCGCTGAATCAAACGCGTCGCCAGTTCCTGAGATCGCAAGTCTGTACTCTGTTGCACCATCGGACACGTCGTTGACGGTGTCGACGTAGCAAGACAGGTCCAACTTTTGGTCGTCTCGCTCGAATTCCCACTTCCCTCAGACGATTTCTGATGGTTTGGTAGGAAATTCTTCGCATACCAGGCACTTGTCCTGCAGTGTCAGTTGCTGTAGCAAACGCTTCCGAAGGTGATGCAACCGGATGTACCGATCCTGAGCAGGGGTGGTCACTCTTGGTCTTCCACTTCTGGGATGATCTTGAGTCGAATTAGTGCGGGTATATCGATCCCATAGTCGAGATATGGTGCTTTGGTGAACGTTGAAGTGTCTTGCAACGGCAGACTGGGACTCCCCTGCTTCCAAAAGTCCAATGGCGATATTTCGGTCAGCTGCAGTTAATCTTGGCATTTTTCGATCTCCGTTCACGCCAAAAAATTCGTAATGAACTGATGAGTTGTGTACGGTCTTTTATAGTCAGCGTCTCTACTCTTGTTTCCAACACTTTTGCACTTGCATTGTGTTGAAAACTTTTTTCTGAAAGCAATTTCCGTGCATCCATTTTTGCTGATAAACGTTTACAAAAAAAAAAACATTTTGAGATGTGTTTGCGCGCAATGCACAAAAAACATGACATGATTAACGGGAATCAAACATAAGAATTGTCTTTAGGACGATTGCTGGGGAAAAAATCTAATTGGAATTCTCAAAACACCTATGCGTTTCTTTTGTTTGAAGAGTGTAGTTCTACCTGATTCATCGAAAGATTTTAACATTAAATAACACTAGTGAGGTAAAATGAATGAATCTAGATGAATAATCTTCACCAATATATTTAATTGCCCTTGACATATCCGTGAACTGCAATGGCAATCTCCCACATTCACCAAGATCCATATTGTTGTTTACAGTTTTACCAACTCGATCCCAAGTACGGTATACATATTTGTATTTGGAGATTTGGGGCTTAAGATACAACCTTGGCGGGTTCCCAGATGGCACGTAAAATTTTAAGAAAGGCCAGTTGGACTTCTAACAGATGCTGTAATCTGAGAATACAGACAGACAGACAGACAGACAGACAGACAGATGTATTCAGTATAAAGGCCAGAGGCTCAAAACAGTCAATATAATAACTGATTATTATATTTACAAAATGGTCAACATCTCTGTGCATATTCAATATTTGTGTCTCTACCAGTTTCTACAGCTAACCCAAAGTTACCACATCTAAATTTTGCCAAAGAAGAGCTTAAGTAAACGGGGATATTTGACGAAAGGTACAATCCAACTTTTATAAGTGACTTAAACTGCACATAGTACCTACACTTTGATGAATTCATTGGAACAGTGACATTATAAAATCTGCCATTTATTCCCAATATCTCTCAAACTGTCAAATAGAACTTAATTTACTGTTTCGAAGGAAATCTATAAACACAGTAAAATCTACCTTTTTGCTTAAGTGCATATATCAGCTCTAAATCTGATTTGATATTCACTAATAATGTTTTTATTGTGATACCATTTCTGGAGGTGAGATGTCAATTAAGATGGATGTAAACACCTTGCAGAGAGAATCAATCAAGGATATACCCCTGTATTTGTCTGGGCTATTTTTGCACCAGCCTTAAACACTGGGCAAATAATACTTCTTCTCCACGGGAAACTGGCCAGTTTGAAGTAATTTGGTTAAATAGTAAAGTAAAAAGATTCAGAGTATTGGGTTTTGATGACTTATAAATTCTATAGCAATAGCATCAGGCCATGGTATTAATAACTATTTCTTAGTTTATCAATGTTAGAGTTCACTTTCTGTTCATATTGTTTTAAATATGCCTGTGTTGCATATATATTCGGGAAATTATTTAGTTTGCCACCGTGTTGAGGCATATTGCATCAAAATTATTCTTGTATTAGTCTAACATTGCACAAACACTGGTAACCTAAGGCCCGAAGTTGTTGCATACACTGTCAAGAGTTTGCAGTCAGAGTGGAGCCAAGCTCCTTCCCAGCGCGTGACACAGTATTAGAGAGCTCCGCGAACGGGCTATCACTGTGAGGAGCTTGAAAGTGGCGTGCTACGAAAGTAAATGTAAAATAGCAACTGCATAACGGAAACGTAATATTTAACGGACATCTAGCTATAACAATTGAGTCTAAGAAAGCATCTTTCTAAGAAACATATCTTAAACTACTGAACAATACAATATGTTGTCCTGAATTATTTAAAATTTTGTTTCGAATATATTGGGGAGAATTGAATTCCATATATTTTTGGAATCCAACTTTTACTAACACGCACTTGCCGGTGTACCGCAAGCATTGTTCAGAGTGGATTCATAGTGGCTTCAGTTGCGAATTTGGTCAAGTTTGGGTACACGTTAAGTTGTCAGTCCAAAGTTCTTCTGCGATCCCTCTCATCTGTCACCAAAATGCCTCCAAAGTCAAAGAAAAAGGTAAGTACTAACGCGCTTGGATTTTTTAGATCATTTTGCTGGCTCCTTCTCAAATGCCGGTATAACCCGGTTCTTGTTTACCGTAATATATGAAATAACGTCTTACGGCGGGAACAATGCCTTTGTCAGTATGGCACTGTGCTTTCATGCGCCCCAACCAAGAAACAATGATATTTGTCTCAGTTGCTGTTTGTTTTTGTATGCAATTTGTTATTGATTGTTTGCCTTTGCGATCCTTCTTTTGAAGAGTTTAATAACTTTGAAGGAAGGAAACTTGATTAAAAGGAAATCCCCCAAAGTTTCAAACTTGAGTCCTATCGTTTGATTTTGCTAATGGTTTCATTACCACTGTTCATTCTAGATCACGTAGATTTCTGGATGTAGGACATTTTACGATAGACCCCCCCCCCCCCCACACACACACACAAACACCCCACACACACACCACTCCCTTATAAACAATGAGCAGTCCCTAAATGATGAAGAAATTTAGAATTTTGTCATAAACCCCCCACCATCCCCAACTCACTGTATATCTATTGATGACAATGAGCAGTTGTTAATAGAGTACTCGATTTATGTCATTATTTTTATCGTTGAAATTTTAAAGTCGTTATGATATATTGTTTATTATGCATGATTAACTTCAGCACTTGCTCATGTGTTAACAGGTCGCCAAGGAAGTACCTAAGGAAGTAGCTGACGCTGCTGCGGCTGAGGTAAGTTGTGGACAACAGTTATCAGGATAAATAGACACTACTTAGTTTAAATCACCTATCTATCAATGACTATCATGTCAAATGAACTACAAGCAGTATATTAGAAGTGAATGAGAAAGTGATAAATGTCTTCCACACTTATTGTTGTGGGCGGTCCCTAATCTATATTTCATCTATGTAGCTATAAACAACACTTACTCTCTAAAAATAATAGCTATGACAGTGGTAAAAACTAACATAACTACCTGACATAGGGACAGTGTGCAATATAGCCCCCTACTCGCAAGCCCAGGGCAAGCACAATTTTGATTGGGATAAAGATTCTGAAATGTCTCTAGCCCGACTGCCAACTGAAATTTAAAAAAAAATGTTTTATACTTAATGAGTAACATTGTATGCTTTTACTTTTAGCATCTTGAGACAAACTTGTACCTGCCAATTTTGAATAAATTATTCTGATTATTTATACTAAGTAAAAATATAGATTCATACCTTAAATGTTTACTTTAATGGCTGTTACACCAAGCACTAATTAGCAGTGAAAAAGTAAATATTTTCATCAATTTGGCCATCCCGTCTATGAAAAAGATGGCTTATGCACCACAGATAAGAGCACACACAAGTATCGTGATACGTATCGGATCTGATATGTATCTGATCGCACAAGTGTTGTATCATCCCAACCCTACTTTTAACATGTTTAAATTATGATATTTGTCTCATGTTTTATTACAATTTGGGTTTACTTTATAACCTTTGCAGAATCAAATTTCTGGAAAAATAAACTAGCATATACTTAAACTAGTGATATTTGGATACTATCTTTTAGAGACTAGCTTAGTCGCCTTTTACGACAAGCATAGTCACTATGGCAAGCATGGGTTGCTGAAGACCTATTCTACCCCGGAATCTTCACGGGTCTATGACATGATACATGAGAGTTGATACTGTGAAGATTGATGAGGCAGAGGCTTTATTGGGGGAACTGTGGTAATTTGGAACAAATTGTTGTGATTGTAGACCTTTGTTAACAACAGTCATCATATTTAAATCATGATAATGTGAAATTAAGTTTAACATTTCATTCAAGATTGTTGCACTTACACAGCAGCGTGATAATGAAGGTTTTATGGTACTGGTTCACTGAGATACCATGATGCAATTTAACATGGATACCTTTCAAGACACATTATACTGACACCAAACCGACCAGTCCTTGTTTTATCCCCTCTTGCAGAGTGTCAGGCAGGGTAACAACAATTACCCTTTTTCAATGATGTGGCTAACCCCCGACCGTATGTCTCCAGGCTTGTATCAACTAGACCAAGGTAGATCACTGCCACAAGACTTGCTATGCATGTTGACTGGGTTAGATGGCATGGTATTTGTTAAGTATGTGTTCCTCCATTAACAGGGACCTCCAGCAAAGAAGGGGAAGAAGGCAGAGGCTGAGGCAGATGAGGTAAGATGTTTTCATTGGTCCAATAATCTGTGGCAGATCTATTTTAGGAGTCATACTGTGCATGATGTATGTTCATCTGTTCATCATTAATCATTAATCATTGTATCTTTGGCGGTTGGATAGCCTTGTGGTTAAAGCGTTCGCTCCTCACGCTGAAGACCCGGGTTTGATTCCCAACATGGGTACAATGTGTGAAGGCCATTTCTGGTGTCCCCCACAGTGGTATTGCTGGAATACTGCTAAAAGCGGCATAAAACCATACTCACTCACTTGTTACTGGATCAAGTAGGGAAACGGTAACAAAAGTAAATGTGAAATCCAATGCACTGTAAGCATGGTAAGGTATCTGCCTGTTAAAATTCCTAATAAGGTAAAAATATGTGCAGGGATTTATTTAGAATTTTAAACAAAGTACCTTTGGCCATGTTGGCATTTGGAATATGTTTTCGTCCAAACATTCCGATTTTGTTTAAAAGTGTCATTTTGTGAGAATGCAGAGATATTGTTGCGTTACATTTAGTAAAACTGTAAAATATGGTGTTATGTTTTAAAGCCCTTTTCCCTTTATTGGATGGGTTATCATTTAAATAAAGGTAAGATAATCAGGTTATAATAATAATGACTTAGATTGGGAATTTTTACTATCATTCCCTGTCAAATACTGAGATAAGTGGATGATTGGGCCTCAGCTACAGTGTTGTTATTGTCAGGGTGAGGAGGCCACGCCCAAGAAGGGCAAGGGGAAGAAGAAGGCCGAGGAGAACGGAGACGGAGACAAGAAAAAGGTCGTCATTCCGACCATGACCTTGGACGAGCAGGACTTCTCCTCCAGCGCCAAGACCAAAGCTGGACTTGACTGGAACTTGAAGATATCCTCCTGGAACATCAACGGAATCAGGGCGTGGCTTGGGGTAAGCAGCAGGGCTTCACATGACAACTACCCTGTTAGTCTGTGACTAGTGAATGTCTAAAGGGACCATTAGTTTCTCTCAAAATCTAGTTGTTATGCATGAACTGAGCTGTGACAAGTTCATTTTATCATCTATAGTGTCTACACTGGGGCAGGTGTGCATCATCACAGTTTCGCACTGTGATGAAAGAAGGTTTACGATAGTTTTTCATTTTTTTCCATTTCACTGTTGTAACACTGTCTATTTCTTATCAGGTTGATTTATATATTGGGAAAATGGATTTGTTGAGTAAAGGCGACTAACATTGGATGGTCAGACTTGCTGACTTGGTTGATGCATGTCATCGTATTCCAAATGTGTTGATTGATGCTCATCATGTCAATCACTGGATTGTCTGGTCCAGACTGGATTATTTACAGACCGCCGTCATATAGATGGAATATTGCTGAGTACGGCTTCAAACAACAAACAAATAGAATACAATAGAGTGGAACAGTGCAGACTGGCAGAGAGATTCATATCTTCCGTTGTTAGGGGCGGTCAGGTAGCCTAGTGGTTAAAGCGTTCGCTCTTCACGACGAAGACCCGGGTTCGAATCCCGACATGGGTACAATGTGTGAAGCCCATTTCTGGTGTCCCCAGCCGTGATATTGCTGGAATATTGCTAAAAGCGGCGTAAAACCTCACTCACTCACTCTTCCATTGTTATGTAATATTTGTTTATCCCCGTTTATTATCTTGTGCATCTTTCATCTCTTCTAGTTCGATGATATACAAACAAGTGAGTAATGTTCCAACAAAAGATGCTGACATTATTTTATTGTGTTGCTCATCCAGAAAGAGGGTACTGCCTACATCGAGAAAGAGGCCCCAGATGTCTTCTGTGTCCAAGAAACAAAGTGTAGTTTAGATAAGATGCCTGATACAGTGAATGTAGATGGTTACCATGCCTACTGGTCGTCGGGGGAGACCGAGGGCTATGCTGGGACAGGCATGTATTGCAAGGAGAAGCCCATTGAGGTCACATATGGAATCGGTGAGTGGTTGGGTTGTCTCCCTTTGTCTGTTGTACCGTGGGATGTGCTATCTGCACGACGGGCAATGTAGAACTGTATTACACCTTTATGAAACAAATAATATGGTGGTATTTTGTTTGTTATGTGTTTATCATTTTTATTTACATATACTTCTTGAAAAAGCGCTAAGGACCACCCTATTTTTTCATATTACTATAGTTGATCTGTAAAACCATGACAGATTAACTATAGTTAAGTAGAGTCGAACCCTGGTACGTAGAGTCGAACCCTGGTATCTCCAACCTAGTGGGACTGAGTTGTAACCTCAGGATATCCTGACATTCAGTATAGTGAGGCGTGAACATCCAGACAGATCAAGTAACAGTAATATAGGTACCAAGCAATACAATTGCATGCACTTTTTGCAAGAAATTATTAACATAATACATGCGATGACAAAGTGAAATGTATTTTGCTGGCATTGATTCGTAACAATTATGACAAATCATTTATTGTACATGTACTTTATTAGGTATATCAGCAATCTCCATTTTGCCTGTACACTTGACGAAAGCAACACAGACCCTCATGGTTTATTCTCCCTGCAGTGTTTTATTGTACGATGAACAACGACCACGAGTTTGTTTATTTCCTTTATGAGATATCAAAATTATGTAAATCCTCTTTAAGGATGTTCGTAAAAAGTACACACATTTACCCGTTAAAAAATCATGATGACTCCCTGGATAGAATTCGACAGAGGCAATGTCGGACAAGTCCTATTTATGAATGGGGGTGCTAAGTTTGGTCTTTCCGGCATATTCTCACAACTTTCACTTCACCGTGGTCTAGTGGTAGAGCGTCCGCCCGGAGAGCGGAAGGTCCGGGGTTCGATCCCCAGCCGCGTCATACCAAAAGACATTAAAAGATGGTACTTGTTGTTACCCTGTCTGGCGCTCGGCATTAAGGGGCTAAAACAAGGACTGGTCGGCTCGGAGTCAGTATACTGTGTCTGAGACGGGTATTCATGTTTAACTGCGGCATGATATCTCAGTGAGCTAGCACTATAAATCGGCATCAGTCCGGACTAATACAAGCAGACACACACACAGATACACGTGCATGCACGTCGCTATATAAGTGCAATAATCTTGGACACGACGTTAAACCCCATTTCACCTCACTTTCACTTCAATTATCTGTCATGTCTCTCTCAGTTTTGGGTACAATCGGCCATTGCGTTCATCTGCGCTATACACCTACATCTCTGGGGATCAACTCACCAGACACTTCCTTCTCAAAAATAACATTGTCCAGTTTATGACATCATCAATTTGCAAGTGCATTTCGAATCTCCAGAATGACATCATGATAGAACAATGTTTCATTGTGAAATAAACCATGCTTCGTTCTTCAGTGTTCTTTGCAATTTATGGCATAGCTATCTTATATTTGTCAATACGGATTACCAATACAATTGGATGAAATGGTAGGTACATAATTGGTTGAACAATTGGTTTAAATTGTGCTGTAAATTTCACAGCAATGTGTTGGAAAGGTTACTGGGTGTACTTGCACTTCTCAAAACTGTTAATGTGGCAATTGACAACTTGGAGATAAACATGTTAACAGTACAAAATTCTATGGTAAAGTCAAAGTTGGGACAGTCCAAGGTTCGAGATAGTACTACATGTATGTATTTTTATCTCAAATTGGGGATAAGTGGGCAAAATTATATGTTTTTATATAGTGAGGCTGTCAGGACCAGAGAAGAGGTTCGGTATGTCAGTTCATTTGAGATAATGAGGTTTGACTGTAATATGGAATATTGTTAAAAGCAGAGTAAAACCCAACTCCCTCACTAGGGTTCCTTGGCCATGGTAATGAAAGGGAGGTAGCTGTGACAGGCTTCACGTTGTTGGTACGGCCCACACTCACCTTGTTGGTAACACTTGCAGGTGTGGACAAACACGACAAGGAGGGACGGGTCATCACAGCCGAATTTGAGAAGTTCTACCTGGTCACAGCATGTGAGTATTGTCACGGTGACATGCACCTGGGAGGGGGTGCTTGGTTGGGAGGGGAGGGGAGCAACACTGGTTATTGTGGCAATGTCATGTGGAGGGGTGGGGGTACTGGGTTGAGTAAGGGGTGACTCTAGTTATTATTCCTCGCCGCCAAGAAGTGGGTTGGGGGATATAGGAACAGAGTTTTTCCATCCTTCCGTCCATCCATCCGTCCTCCCATCTGTCCAGTTCTCAAAGGGGACAAATTTTCTCACAAACTATTTGAGTCAGAATAATGATATTTTACACACTGATGTCACTGGTCATGATCTCAAATTGGTGTCATAAATTCATTTTTTACAGAGTTATGTCCCTTGCTCCATCCTTTTCAATTTACTGCATACTGTGTGAAATGGTGACACATTTTCTTAGAAACTACTGAAGTTACATTAATGAAAGTTTGCATGCTTTTCTAAGAGATACTTGTCAAGACTGAATTCAGAAATTGATCCTGTAAATGATTTTTTTACAGAGTTGTGGCCCTTGATCCATGTTATTTTACTTATTGCATAGTGTGTGCAATGGGCAAAGGTTTTCTCAGAAACTACTGACGTTATTGTAGCAATGTTATGTCGAGGGAAGGGTGTTAAGGAATGGTATGTGGTAGTGGATGTATGGATGACACTTTATAGTTTACTTTGAAAAAACCTTGAAACTATTTTTATTATGCTTGTGATACTAACGTGTACTGCCACAAACCGTATGATATTTTATCACCATCCATGAAATCACATTTTGACTTCTCATTATATTTTAAGACTACAGTATCTTATAACACATAATTACAATTCACAAGCTTCAATTCATATTTATAACATGGCATCAAACATTTGGACTCATTTTCTGCAAAGTCCTATAACTTAAAACTGTTTATTTCTTAAAGGCTGTTTTAGGAAATAATGTCTGATTAATTGAAAGCAGACAAGTATTGAAATGTTTTGAAAGGATGTTTTTCTGACATAACAAACTAACAAGAGAAGAATACGATATTTTTTTACCAGTAAGCACAGATGATGATTTTTATGGAAGTAAGTTGATGCCTAACGTCTTTCTTTATGATGTCACAGCACAATTGCATTCTAGCACCCATAAGGCCCCTTTTCTCCTTGTGGGTCACATATATTATCCTTGCTGTGGTAAACAATCCCTATTACCTTTGTCTACATATGAGACCTGCTGTATGCCTAATTATGAGCTATTTCTTACCTTTGTCTTTATGATATATGTTTATTCAGACATTCCGAACGCTGGGCGTGGTTTGACCCGAGTTGACTACCGCACGAAGGAGTGGGATGTGGAGTTCCAGGCCTACATGAAGAAACTGGATGACAAGAAGCCCGTCATACTGTGTGGAGATCTCAACGTCGCTCATCTTGACATAGGTAGGCCAGACAGACATCACAGTATGACGAAAGTGGACAGTACACATATATGACAGTCAGTCATGGGTAGGCCAGGCAGACATATGATATGTGACAGTCAAACATGGGTAGGCCAGGCAGACAGGGGAAGGTCAGGCAGACAAGGTTAGGCCAGGCAGACAAGGGTAGGCAAGGCAGACAGGGGTAGGTCAGGCAGACAGGGGTAGGTCAGGCAGACATGGGTAGGTCAGGCAGACATGGGTAGGACAGGCAGACATGGATAGGACATGCAGACAGGGGTAGGACAGGCAGACATGGGTAGGTCAGGCAGACATGGGTAGGTCAGGCAGACATGGGTAGGTCAGGCAGACATGGGTAGGACAGGCAGACATGGGTAGGTCAGGCAGACAGGGGTAGGACAGGCAGACAGGGGTAGGTCAGGCAGACATGGGTAGGTCAGGCAGACATGGATAGGACATGCAGGGGTGGGACAGGCAGACAGGGGTAGGTCAGGCAGACAGGGGTAAGGCAGACAGGGGTAGGACAGGCAGACAAGGACGGGACATGCAGGCAGACATATATGACGGGCAGGACAGGCAGACAAGGACGGGACATGCAGGCAGACATATATGACAGGCAGACAGGGGTAGGACATGCAGGGGTAGGACAGGCAGACAGGGGTAGGTCAGGCAGACATGGGTAGGACAGGCAGACAGGGGTAGGTCAGGCAGACATTGGTAGGACAGGCAGACAGGGGTAGGACAGGCAGACATGGGTAGGACAGGCAGACATGGGTAGGACAGGCAGACAGGGGTAGGACAGGCAGACATGGGTAGGACAGGCAGGGGTAGGTCAGGCAGACAGGGGTAGGACAGGCAGACATGGGTAGGACAGGCAGACATGGATAGGACATGCAGGGGTGGGACAGGCAGACAGGGGTAGGTCAGGCAGACAGGGGTAGGACAGGCAGACAAGGACGGGACATGCAGGCAGACATATATGACAGGCAGACAGGGGTAGGACATGCAGGGGTAGAACAGGCAGGTAGGGGTAGGACAGGAAGACGGGTAGGACAGGAAGACTTGTACGACAGGCAGACTGGTAGGACAGGAAGACTGGTAGGACAGGCTGGCAGGTAGGACAGGAAGACGTGTAGGACAGGAAGACAGGGGTAGGACAGGAAGACAGGGGTAGGACAGGAAGACAGGTAGGACAGGAAGACTGGTAGGACAGGAAGACTGGTAGGACAGGCTGACAGGGGTAGGACAGGAAGACTGGTAGGACATGCAGACAAGGGTAGGCCAGGAAGACTGGTAGGACAGGAAGACTGGTAGGCCAGGAAGACTGGTAGGCCAGGCAGACTGGTAGGCCAGGAAGACTGGTAGGACAGGCTGACAGGGGTAGGACAGGAAGACAGGGTAGGACAGGAAGACTGGTACTACAGGCTGACAGGGGTAGGCCAGGCAGACAGGGGTAGGCCAGGCAGACAGGGTAGGACAGGAAGACTTGTACGACAGGCAGACTGGTAGGACAGGAAGGCTGGTAGGACAGGCTGACAGGGGTAGGCCAGGCAGACAAGGGTAGGACAGGAAGACTGGTAGGCCAGGCTGACAGGGGTAGGCCAGGCAGACAGGGTAGGACAGGAAGACTGGTAGGACAGGCTGACAGGGGTAGGACAGGAAGACAAGAACGGGACATGCAGGCAGACATATATGACAGGCAGGTAGGGGTAGGACAGGAAGACAGGAGTAGGCCAGGAAGACTGGTAGGACAGGCTGACAGGGGTAGGCCAGGAAGACTGGTAGGCCAGGCAGACTGGTAGGACAGGCAGGTAGGGGTAGGACAGGCAGACAAGGGTAGGTCAGGCAGACATTGGTAGGACAGGCAGACAGGGGTAGGACAGGCAGACAAGGAAGGGACATGCAGGCAGACATATATGACAGGCAGACAGGGGTAGGACATGCAGGGGTAGGACAGGCAGGTAGGGGTAGGACAGGAAGACAGGGGTAGGACAGGAAGACTGGTAGGACAGGCTGGCAGGTAGGACAGGAAGACGTGTAGGACAGGAAGACAGGGGTAGGACAGGAAGACTGGTAGGACAGGCAGACTGGTAGGACAGGAAGACTGGTAGGACAGGAAGGCTGTTAGGACAGGTTGACAGGGGTAGGCCAGGCAGACAAGGGTAGGACAGGAAGACTGGTAGGACATGCAGACAAGGGTAGGACAGGAAGACTGGTAGGACAGGAAGACTGGTAGGCCAGGCAGACAGGGTAGGCCAGGCTGACAGGGGTAGGCCAGGCAGACAGGGGTAGGCCAGGCAGACAGGGTAGGCCAGGCTGACAGGGGTAGGCCAGGCAGACAGGGGTAGGCCAGGCTGACAGGGGTAGGCCAGGAAGACTTGTACGACAGGCAGACTGGTAGGACAGGAAGACTGGTAGGACAGGAAGGCTGTTAGGACAGGCTGACAGGGGTAGGCCAGGCAGACAAGGGTAGGACAGGAAGACTGGTAGGCCAGGCTGACAGGGGTAGGCCAGGCAGACAGGGTAGGACAGGAAGACTGGTAGTACAGGCTGACAGGGGCAGGACAGGCAGACAAGGGCAGGACATGCAGGCAGACATATATGACAGGCAGGTAGGGGTAGGACAGGAAGACAGGGGTAGGCCAGGAAGACTGGTAGGACAGGCTGACAGGGGTAGGCCAGGAAGACTGGTAGGACAGGAAGACTGGTAGGACAGGCTGACAGGGGTAGGACAGGAAGACTGGTAGGACAGGCAGACTGGTAGGACAGGCTGACAGGGGTAGGCCAGGCAGACAAGGGTAGGACAGGAAGACGTGTAGGACAGGCTGACAGGGGTAGGCCAGGAAGACTGGTAGGACAGGAAGACTGGTAGGACAGGCTGACAGGGGTAGGACAGGAAGACTGGTAGGACAGGCAGACTGGTAGGACAGGCTGACAGGGGTAGGCCAGGCAGACAGGGGTAGGACAGGAAGACGTGTAGGACAGGCTGACAGGGGTAGGACAGGAAGACTGGTAGGACAGGCTGACAGGGGTAGGCCAGGCAGACAAGGGTAGGACAGGAAGACTGGTAGGCCAGGCTGACAGGGGTAGGACAGGAAGACTGGTAGGCCAGGAAGACTGGTAGGACAGGCTGACAGGGGTAGGCCAGGCAGACAAGGGTAGGACAGGAAGACTGGTAGGACAGGCTGACAGGGGTAGGACAGGAAGACTGGTAGGCCAGGCTGACAGGGGTAGGACAGGAAGACAAGGGTAGGACAGGAAGACTGGTAGGACAGGAAGACTGGAAGGACAGGCAGACAAGGGTAGGACAGGAAGACAAGGGTAGGACAGGAAGACTGGTAGGACAGGAAGACTGGAAGGACAGGCAGACAAGGGTAGGACAGGAAGACTGGTAGGACAGGCTGACAGGGGTAGGCCAGGCAGACAGGGTAGGACAGGAAGACTGGTAGGACAGGCTGACAGGGGTAGGACAGGAAGACTGGTAGGACAGGCTGACAGGGGCAGGACAGGCAGACAAGGACGGGACATGCAGGCAGACATATATGACAGGAAGACAGGGGTAGGCCAGGAAGACTGGTAGGACAGGAAGACTGGTAAGACAGGCTGACAGGGGTAGGACAGGAAGACGTGTAGGACAGGCTGACAGGGGTAGGCCAGGAAGACTGGTAGGACAGGAAGACTGGTAGGACAGGAAGACAGGGGTAGGACAGGAAGACGTGTAGGACAGGCTGACAGGGGTAGGACAGGAAGACTGGTAGGACAGGCTGACAGGGGTAGGCCAGGAAGACTGGTAGGACAGGAAGACTGGTAGGACAGGCTGACAGGGGTAGGCCAGGCAGACAAGGGTAGGACAGGAAGACTGGTAGGACAGGCAGACTGGTAGGACAGGCAGACAGGGGTAGGACAGGGGCAGGACAGGAAGACTTGTAGGACAGGCTGACAGGGGTAGGACAGGAAGACTGGTAGGACAGGAAGACTGGTAGGACAGGCTGACAGGGGTAGGACAGGAAGACAGGTAGGACAGGAAGACTGGTAGGACAGGAAGACTGGTAGGACAGGAAGACAGGGGTAGGACAGGAAGACAGGGGTAGGACAGGAAGACTGGTAGGACAGGCTGACAGGGGTAGGACAGGCTGACAGGGGTAGGACAGGAAGACGGGTAGGCCAAGTAGATGTATATGACACAGTGTACATCACAACGGAAGATCAGGCAGACATAGTGTACTAGACATGGTCCCTGTCAACATGTGAGTTGTATACATCTCACCAGAGGTTGGACCCTACACCTGTTTCCTAATTGAAATAATACACAAGAGCCTATGAACATGAACAGACTCTCTTTACTTTCAGACTTAAAAAATCCCAAAACCAACAAGAAAAATGCAGGTTTTACTCCCCAGGAGCGTGAGGGGTTCACCAACCTGCTGAACGAGGGCTTTGTGGACTCATTCCGCCTACTGTACCCGGACCTGGAAGGTGCCTACACTTTCTGGGCCTACTTCATGAACAACAGAGCCAAGGATGTAGGCTGGTGAGTAGTCTTCTCCTTTTTTTTTACAACAACCAAGAACCTTTCTACCAAATCTATGATATTGTTTTAAATAACAGGTTTGATGCTGTCTCTGGTGTACAGTGAGTAGTACAAGTTGAAACTCCTGTATACATGTTGTCAGTGTTATTCCACACCTCAGGCGCTGGCATCGATTCCTCTCACGGGTACAACGTGTTAAGCCCGTTTCTGTTGTTCTGCCATGATGTTGCTGGTGTATTGTTAAAGTGGCCTCACTCACTCACATGGTGACCTAGACCTCACTCACTCACTCACTCACTCACTCACTCACTCACTCACTCACTCACATGGTGACCTAGACCTCACTCACTCACTCACGTGGTGACCTAGACCTCACTCACTCACTCACTTGGTGACCTCGCTCACTCACTCACATGGTGACCTAGACCTCAATCACTCACGTGGTGACCTAGACCTCACTCACTCACTCACGTGGTGACCTAGAACTCACTCACTCACTCACGTGGTGACCTAGACCTCACTCACTCATGTGGTGACCTAGACCTCACTCACTCACATGGTGACCTAGGATACATGAACTATTATGATAGCATTTGACTGTGTTATTTGATACAAGTAAACACTGCAGTTTTTAAAAGGTTTACAAAAGGGAGCATATGTTTAGAAATGTGATGTTTGCTTGCAGGAGACTGGACTATTTTGTGATGTCCGAGCGTCTGACCGACAATCTGTGTGACAGCATCATCAGGAAGTTTGTGCAGGGTAGTGACCATTGTCCCGTTGTCCTGTTCCTCAACATGTGAATCCTTCTCCATCATCGTCGTTTAGAATGTGTGACGATGTTCATCATTGTCCATATAGTACAGGTCGTGAACACACCAGCCATTGTCCGGAACATGGTCTGTTTGTTAATACAGTGATACCCAGTTGGTCTGGATCCCGTTGTCTGGAGACCCGCTTCTTGAAGGTTGTTCGGAAGGTCTATAAATACCCTCTCATACAGAGGAACAGTAGTCTGTGTCTGTACACACCAATGGGGATTCTGGGTTAGAATTGTCCCTAGAACCTGCGCTGGTCGTAAGAAGTGACCTCGTGGATCGGATAGTCAGACTCAGTGACTTGGTTGATGACTAAATTGTTGCTCCCAATGTCGATCACTGGATTGTCATGTCCAGGCTTGATTATTTACTGACCGCAGTCATATAGATGGAATATTGCTGAGTGCTGCGTACACAACAGACAAACTGTACCTGAAACTGAAACTTAATTGCAGATTTACTTACCTGGGCCAGCTAGGATACGATCCTGAGTTTGAATCCTGGATTTGCCCTTATTATGATCTTTGGTTTGTCAGCACCGTACCGGTTGTTGTGGGTTTCACAGAAATGGTAAACGTTTCACATGTTTAAGGCAGGCGTCACTTCAGTTTGTCTTTTTCATAACTGACATACGGTCCAAAGTACAATGAAGCCCGTCTAACTAACTGCTCTTTACCCATGATTCGCTCTTCTACTGTGTTTACCAGGATATTCACCAGTAATGGTCTCCATTCACATTTCACTGCGTAGTCAGTGCTCATTTTGTTCAGAATCATGGTTATTTGTAGATCATTTTTATTAAAATATCATTTGCAATATTTTCTTATTCTTTTTACTGTGGATCTGATGTGGATAAACTGTTATCACCTTTTTCATTGAATACATTGATACCCGTCTTCAACACTTCCCAGGGGCGGTCGGGTAGCCTAGTGGTTAAAGCGTTCGCTCGTCCAACGAAGACCCGGGTTCGATTCCAGACATGGGTACAATGTGTGAAGCCCATTTGTGGTGTCCCCCGGCGTGATATTGCTGGAATATTGCTAAAAGCGGCGTTAAACCATACTTACTCACTACTCAAATCTTCCCAGGTCTGTACACACTACTTTCCTCCATCCTCAGTGAATACAAGTGGCAGCCCTCTCGTCGCCGTGTTTAATGCACAAACTAAGTCTGCATCCAGTGAGTGAGTGAGTTGGGTTGAATGCCGCTTTTAACATTATTACAGTTATATCAGGCATGTCACCTTAATGTGGGAGGAAAGCCCGAAGTGATGCAGGTCTCAGACGTTTATCACTTTGATGAAACCCATGATCATGGGTATGGTGCTGACAAACCTAGAAACATAATCGGCAGAACCTAGATTCGAACCCACAATCATAGGGTTCTGGCGTGCCCAAGGGACGCAACTCTGCACAGCGAATCGTGGCACCTTAGACGACTTGGCCACCCGCGCCCCTGCTTCCAGTGAGAGAGAAACCACCACCATGGAGCTCTCTCTCTATGCAGTCGAACTTCATTGTGTCAAACTTGCATGTTGACTCCAACTGATTAGGGAGTCCCAAGTATCCAAATGAAGCATAAAATTCCCCTGGTGTCTCGAAACCCCGGATAACACTTCCCCCAGGTCCCCACGAGTTCCCTTCAAGGTTCAACTCTTTCTTGTGTAACATGTGCTATGGCCTTGCAGCCATCTACTTTCCAGGACTTCATGCAGATAGTAGGGCCATTTTGATTTCTGTGAGTTACACAATGTCTCATTTCATTGCCCAACTAAGAATACACACTTGTCACTACTTCACCCCATAGCGACTGTATGTATTCACGAGGCGACTAACGGGATCGGGTGGTCAGACTCACTGACTTGGTTGATGCACATCGTCATATCCCAATTGCGTGGATCTATGTTCATGATGTCATTCACTGGATTGTCTTGTCCAGACTCCATTATTTACCGACCGCCGTCATATAGCTGGAATATTGCTGAGTGCGGCGTTAAACAACAAACAAACAAACATATGATTTGTGGACTTTGTGTATACAAACCTATGGAGTACTGAATGAATAATTCAGATGACAATAAACTATGAATATATTGTTCATACCACTGCGTCTACACTTGGTCTTATTGAAATTTGTTTGTTTGACCTTCACTGTATGTAAACGTTTCATACATACCACTTTTATGTACCATGATTTGTTAATTTGATGGAATTCTAACACCTGATGTATTTTGTCTGTTTTCCTGAAAACACCTTAATTGGGACTAGTTACCATGGTTACTGAAGTATTTTTAAGTGGCGAGAAATCAGTTCATATATGAATACATGTGTAAACATTTACATGCTTGAGATTACTCATTTGTTTATGGCTGGAAGACATATGGAGGATTTTGTGTTTACATCATGATTTAAGCTTTGATTGACACCGTTTGTCCTGTAATCTGTCACAAAGTCAAAATCTTGTTAGTGCTTCCAGTCTGTTTTGTTAGAAGTGGTTTGTTTTATGTTGACTTGGTTTAGTAGGTTTACAGGCAAATTCACAAATGTAGAATAAAACCTGAATTAAACTAATGTATTGAGGAAAACAGACAACCCCCCCCCCCCCCCCACACACACACACACATTGGAAGAGAGGTAATAGCAACTCTTTGATTTGTCACAAAAAACGTTTTCCAGTTTGTTAGGCTGGGATGAGTCTAAATTTACCTGGGTACCCGACCCCCTATTACCCGACCCTACCCGGGTTCAAATGGGAAGTGTTTTACTGGCAAAAAGTATTTATATAAAGTAAACAACAATCTGATTGTGCATATACTGAAGTTGACTGAATCTTTGTCTTTACTTAAACATATACAAATCAGAAGGAATGTGTGGACAGTCACAAAGAAATGCGAACATTAGCGACTTGTACTTATAAAGTGAAATTTTATTGTTAATGTCATAAAAAAATATATCACATGACTAACCATGGGTCTGGGTAGTCCTGTGGGTACTCGGGTCCTACTCAGTACTCACCCGGCTCAAGTACCCGAGTTACCCGTGTCCCAGCCCTATTTGTAAGCTACTACATGTACATTAAATATAATTTCCAACCTGCAAAAAACACTTTAAAATAAAATAAACGTTTCTTGAGGTGTAGTTTTGATGTTATTTCTAGTACTGGCCCTGTTTTTGAGAAAAACAAGAAAAAGGAAGTATAAATGAGTCTAGTGCTCTTTTAATATTGTGTCTGTGTTTTGAAGAAATACTTTGTAAACCTGAAAGGGAAAGCTTTATATTGGTATTGGTATCATCCAGCTGTCATTGTGCTTTTATTGATTCAAAAATATATTTTGATACATGTAAGCTCTATTGACATTTGACATGGGGAGATATGCAAGATGTTTTTGGAGTATTTAGCGTCGATGTGTAAAGTGACGGCAAGGCTAGTGTAGGCTTGCTCTAGGTCGAATCTGTTCGTCCCTGGTGCATTGTTCTGACTAGTTGCTGTGTGTTGAAAGTCTTGTGTTTCAGGGGAGGGGAGTGTGTGGCTCTGTTTAGCGATGAAGGAATAAAGTTAGCCAAACAACAGTAATTTTTGCATTCCTTTGTCTACATTCCCACCTGTGCAAGTCTGGAGTAAGGCCACCATTCCTTTGTCTGTCCCCAGAAACCTATGCTTGTAACAGGAGGCGACTTAATGGACATGGGCACATCATGGAGGTGAGGTGAAGTGAAATAGGGTTTAACGTTGGGCATTTTTTAACATAGCCCTGGCAAAATGAATTTAGATACATGTATTTAACAATCTGGTCATGCATACACTGCAGTTGACTTAGATAATATTTTTATTCAACCATATGAAAAGTCAGAAGGAATGGGTGCATAGTCAGAAAGAAATGCGAACATTAGTGACTTGTAGTGTAACCATAGAGTTCTAGATAATTTTTGTCATTAAACAATATATCACGTGACTAACCACGGGTCAGGGTAGTCCTGTGGGTACCTGGGTCCTACTCTGGACCTACCTGACTGGGTAATCGAGTTACCCGTTCCAGCCCTACTACTTATATATGTGCTGTATATATGCTGCAGATATGCTTATAAGGAACTACGGTTATGATAAACTAAAATAAGCAATCCCTTTGAGTTCGTTATAACCGTAGTGTACTGTACACTGACACAGCCCTAATGCCGAGTGCCAGGCAGGGTATCAACAAGTATTATCTTTTAACATTATTTAATAAGACACGACCAGGGATTGAAACCCGGACCTTCCGCTCTTTAGAAAATCTGTCTTTTGATATAAAATAAATCAACGTGAGTTGGTGAGATATGTTTTCAGCAGCACTAGCCAAGTGAGCTAGCTTGTTATTGTTTTGCTAGCGAATTTGCCTCTCAAATACAAGGAGAAATCTGGAAGCAGAGAGAATATTTCAAGATTAGAACGTCAATCTGAGTCACAATCTCATTAAAATCATATCTTAGTTCTCGCTATCGCTAAACGAAGATCTAAGGACATCCCATTACGGGATACGTTAGAACGATCTTTCATCCGACCAATCAAAGCGTCGCTTACCAGATCATGAAAGTGACAGTCGAAATGTGTTTTCTAATCATGCAACCTCGAAAACACGGGGTATGTCGAATGACCGTTACGGCCCGTACGACCGATACCGTCACATATTATATTCTGTCTCTCGCTTTCGTGGGATAAACATTTGAACGGCGGAGGCGTTTCACGGTATGTGGGAAGCACTGCCATGCAATCTCAACCATCTATTAGACATTCCGGAATGTTGGTTTGTTCAGTTTGCAAAATTTAAATCGAGAACTGTGTCAACATATTTTTCAAGCGTAGTCTGAAATGGAAGACGCCAAGTTGAAACGAGTGCCGCAAAGCTCGAGAAAGCTGCTTTCTAATTGGCTGATGTCGACTTCTTGTATGTCATTTCAGTGGTCGGTCAAAGGTTCGCGAAAGGTCGTTCTGACGTGACCCGTAATGGGATATCCTCAGATCTTTTTTGCGGCAGCGAGAACTCAGATCTGATTTTAATGAGATTGATCTGAGTCCGTGTGAAACAGTTTTCTGGCACTTGCAGAACTAATGTACAAGAAAGTTGTGCAGGTGAATAACATGCGATATTACTGGTTTTAGAAATGGGTCTTATTTATTAAGTGAACAGGTAGAGATCTTACAGCTGGAGAGAAAATTGAGCTAGTTACCACGATTTAATATTCACTAGTAAGAAAGATAAGAATGTACCAATAGGCTACCTGGCAGGAGCGTTTTTCGCACGCACATGCACACATGACATCTCGTTAATCATATACCGAATTTCCTCAAATAAGCCCCTCGGCGGGTATTCTTAAGAATAGCTTCTAAACCCGGCAGTAATTAGAGACAGGCGCTCTACAGTGTTGTATCAGTACTAATATGAGACCCTTCGGTTCTAAACCTTTTTCCAGGGAGAACGTAATTCTTAATAGAGGAAATATGAAATATGAGGGAACTATAGGTTATCAGCCGCTCTCACCCCTCCCCTAAACTGAATCATGAATACGACTCAACACAAACTTCAAAAGCACATGTCACAATTTCCACTACAAAGGCAGAATGTTGAATTGAAAACCCCCAACTATTCCTAGTTAATAAAAGGGAGCGATTGGAAGTTATTTTAAGCAATTATTCTGAGTCCCGAATGTCGTCTAAATAGAATCCCGCGTACCAAAAGTGGGGTGGCAAACTTTTATCTTGAACGACCGCCTCCGTGGTCTAGTGGTAGAGCGTCCGCCCGAAGAGCGGAAGGTCCGGGGTTCGATCCCCGACCGCGTCAT